ATTTCAAAGAATAGAATATAAAAACTTTCATCTTAATTTCTGGGTGTGTAGAGTGCCATATTATCGTTAAGTGTTTGGATATATTGTTATTTTAGATCTTCATATCACTTTAAAGGGACATTGTCCTCATTTATAACGATTCTTAAAAGTTAATTGCTTTTCTTGTAGAGGTTAGAAGAGCCATTTAAGTGCTGCTTAAGAAATCAAATACTATCTTTGCCATTTGTGTTTTAATGCACAATGAAACAGGCAATAAAAATTTTTAGCCATTGTGAAGCACTTTGTTGAGTATCATCTAATTTGTTTTCTTTTGATATCTGCGGGGTTTTTTTGGCTTTGTGCATTCCAAGTGTTTCGTGTTGCAATAACAATAAGCATCGCGTAGGCTTTGGTGGATGAAGCCTGAACTGATAATTTAATTGCTTTTCTTGGTACAGTCGTACATGTTTAATGCAGTAGAGAGCTCGATGTTATCCTTTATTATGCAAATTCCCAAAAAATTATTTTGAATGGATTTCTAAAATTCGTGGGTTTCTCGACAAAACATTCTTCAATTTAGAGGTAATTTCATTTCAATCTTTCTTTGTTGAGAGGCTTTAAATTCGATTTTTTTTTCCGCAGATAACATTTAATGAACAAACTTCAAAGCAACTAACATTAATTTCTTTTGAAAAATAACTTTAAAAACGCTTTTGTGCCTGAAATACCGACCATTGCTTTTGTCAAAGATTGCTCTTTGAAGAAATTAATATTCCAGGAGACGAACAGCTGCGTTCCATTACTTCCTCTTGGGGATTTTCGCGAGGCATTTAATTCATTGTTTCCCCCTGCTTGTTTTCGCCTTACTATATGTTGCCTCATTTATGAGTTTATCCATGAAGTGATTTGGTTCGTCAAAATTTACATTAAAATAGGAATGAAAAGTCTGATTTATTTTTCTCTAATGAGCAATAGAAAAGTTTCATTTTAGAAATGGATATTTATTCAATCTTGCATACTCTTTCAAAAACATGCAATCAAAAATTGATAAACAGCGTTCTATAAGCATTTAATTATTTGAAGTTGTTTACTTCAATAACTTTGGTGAATAGCTTTCGAATTAAAGAGCATAGAAACGCGAAAATAAAGTTATTCGAATCAAACGGCTTTGGAGTTTTAAGAGTAATCTAATTTAAATAAAAGAATTCAAGAAACTTATTTATTGCGTTCTATTTGTGGATATTTGGGAAAAGGCGTTATTGTTCAAAGACCCGCTTGTTCTGCTTTGCACATTTAATATGGCATGCCTAAATCCCATGAAAATTGATTTCAAAGAAAAATAACTTATTTTTTTGATTGTTATTTTCCTTAGTGTAGGGATGAGGTACAACAAAGACAATCATTTCTAGAACATCCAGATATGAAGCAAAATATTTTAACAAACGACACTCTTGTCAGAGTCTAATTTTGAAGTGTTAGTGTTCCTTACAAGATGGCACAACAGTAATTAAGATCGATGTTACTAATTATTATTAAGATTGATGTTACTAACATCAAATTAAAGTATTTTCTTCCTTCGTTTATGAAATTAAAAGATAAATTAACTGACCACATAAAAATTAAGAAATTTGGATTAACGTTTTAATTTTCTTGATTAATTGCTGATGATTCTATAATAAGAGAAAGAATGTTCTAGAAGTACTAGGTTAACTAGCCATTATTTTTTAGTATTATTAATCCAGGCTCCGTTTCATTAGGAATAAAACTGCGAATTGGCAAAAAAAGTTACCAGTCAGAAAACGAAAAAAAAAGTCCGAATAAAATGATATACATATCTCTGTTGCATTTAGTCTTTTCTACCATTTGAAAATAACTTACAAGGTATTTCTCTCGCCTTCCTAGCGTGCCTTCGTGGTATATTGGTTCTGCACTCTGGGCCGGTATTCCAGAGGTTCGCGGTTCGATTCCCGGAGAAGGCGTTTGCTCATTTTTCATCTATCTTGCTTCCAAAAAAAAAAAATCCTAATGTCTCTACAGTGGCTCTCGAACTAGCAGGGTGTTGGATAATGATTCTCCTCACCCAGGATTTGATGACTGGGTTCCCTAAAAACCCCAGTCGCTCTTTAAAAGGGGGAGTACATAAGGTATTTCTCCAGACTTTCTAGCGTGCCTTCGTGCTGTAGTGGTTCTGCACGCTGGCCCGGTATTCCAGAGGTCCATGGTTCGATGCCCGACGAAGGCGTTTGCTAATTTTTCATCACTCCTACTTTAAAAATAATAACCTCACGTCTCTACAAACTGATATATTAAGGTTTTGCTATAGATGATAGCAGATTTAAGCTCAAAACTTTATTAAAACATAAACTGAGAAAGGTTTCTTTAACAAAGCTAGAAAGTACATTGCGCAAAGTTATTCCTGTAGTTCAAATTAACTGAAACAATCAGGAACTGGATTAGTCAGCAGCTTAAGCCATCCCCTGCAAATATCACAGTCGAGCTTTGTCCTTTATAATTACAGGACAGTTTTCCAGCCCAGCAGTTAATGAGAGAAACTTTCATTATAAGTCCCCTTCGCTGTCAAAAGGGCTATATTCCCCCACCCCTAATACGGAAAGATTTCCGATCACAAGATGATAAAATATCTTTACGTGGTTTTAATGAGCCTAGTTAAGAGCTAATGACTGAAGCTACAGCATAGATCGCAATCTCTGGATGTATGAAGTCTTCCATTGGAATTTTGGCGCTATCTATTAATAATATGCCGCCTTGCTGTATTGATTTCGTTCAGTATGAAGGCATCCTAAACAAGGTACTCTTGAGGAAATTTTTTCCCGATGCAGAAGGTGAAAGGATAAATTATTTTCTATCACGTTATCGAGCTTCGAAAGAAGATGAGTAATTGGTGATTATGCATTATTATCTGCCTGTTAAACCGCTTAGTTTTATTTGGTTCTTATAACAAATTATCCTAAAGCAAAGACTACTAAATAATTTTTAAGCAGCTAAACTTGAGGTCCTTTATGTACGATATGCTGCCATAGAAAATATATAAAGCTGTAACTAAATATGTATAACTGAAAATGATAATCGGATAGCGAATCAGAAAACTTAAACAAAATTAACGGTAATAACTGAATTAAATTATTAAACTGATTATTCATTACCAAAAATTAATTTCTTTGCCAACAATGTACTCGCCACATTACTGTCTGTAAAATCAGGTGGAAACATATTTTGCATTTTTTCAAAAAAATACAATTGGTATGGTGTGGTTTTTTTTTTCGAAATATCCGTTCTCACACCCCAGTATGGAAAAGTCCTTTTCCAGCGAACATGATGTCACCTGCCTTTTAAAGCATTGTTTCAAAATGCGGTAGATGCTGCTCTGACAAGGAACTGAAGACGGAGGATTCAGCAATAAACTAATGATTGAATATGAGACGAATTTCCTCGAAGCCCTTAAGCATTGGCTACATAAGCTTCTTTAATATTAAGGTATACCATAAACGACTAATGGGAGCCTGCTCATAATCGCTTTTAATATGAAATTAATAATCGCGTGTAGTTAGTAAATTTGCAGGTTTCAGTATCGTAGGTTAAATAGAAGCTTCCGCGCCGCAATGGGAATGAAAATGACGAAAAAAAAACATATGCTTACAAGAGATAGGCAAATTCAGAAGATTCTTACTAAAGTTAGAAACTAAAGCCACTGGCTGGGATCATTAAATAGAAGAGACTTTTTATAGAACGTGAAAACCCCTCCAATAAATCTAATGATCAATGAAGGACGCTTTTTGAATAACTTCGGTTACAAAGATGGCGCAATATGTGATTTTTTGAACAGCATTGATGGACAATGGAGCATTTTTGAGTCCACTCCCCCTGAATGTAAACCTAAAGATCTTTAGTGCTTGATGTTAAGGCTTTCCTCATCTGATCGATGTATATTAAGATACATTATCAAAGAAGTCTAGATACCCCAGGAATTCTGGACTGATGTCCTTAAATATCGAACTATTTTAATACGAAAAAAACGACATGAAAATTAAATTCTTGACAAATTCGTGCAATTTTATGACTAATCAGTGGAAAAAATTGAAAAACTTTTGGCTTATTTTTTCCCTTCAAAACGGAAGAATTGTTTGTTTGTTTGTTTGTTTTCTTGTGTCGAAAGGAAAAGTTTTAAAGCTTGGCCAATAATATTAAAGTAAAATTCTCTGTCAATTGCAACCCCTCTGAAATATCGAAGTTCTTGGTCAAAAACTCAAACTTGCACTAGATATACTAGAGCAATATCATAGCCTCCATATTCAGCTTATATTAAGCTTCTCATTTTATTGCTTCTAATATTTTTCAAGGACAGCAGATCTCGGTGAATATTTTTTGATAACCTGTAACTCAGACAATTTGGTGTAATCTAAGCCGTTACCTCATAAGTACTCGAGAACACTTGAAGGAAACTGTTTATAATTACTACCGTCATAAAAAGTGGAAAAATGACTGTATAGGTGTTATTTAGCATTCTGTATTATTAAAACGTGTAGGTAATATAAATTTTTAAGTGCACTTTCATATTTTGTAAATAACTTTATCCTGCTGTTGCAGTTTGAGAATATAGGCCGTGAAAAAGTACGATTGTAACTTATAATTATTTTGTATTTTCACAACTGCTAATACTGTAACTTACGCATTTTGATTTACTGAGTATCCATACTTTCATTAGAATCTAACTGGTAAACTGTAAAGAAATGTGATAGTATAAAATTAATCCATATGTTCCAAACTTCTAGCCCTAGAATATGAAATGTTACGGCTGTACAACTATAAATGAAATGAAGTCAATCTTTTCTATTAAGTGAATAGAATTAGATCATTTTTATGATATATCGTAAAATGTCATGTTTTTCGAGCTAATTTTTTACCTCTGAAGAGTCATGTATTTTCATAATGTTCTGTATTTATTATCGTTAAGTATGTATAAGTTTCTGACAATATTTGCATTTCCCTTTTCTTCCCTCTAGCTTACGGAAATTTAGCGAACATCTTGAGTAGCAGAGGTCAGAAAGAAGAGGCAGAATGGGCTTATAAGAAAGCACTCAGCTACCGTGCTAACATGGCTGATGTTAGATACAATTTGTAAGTTCCTATTTATTTATGTTTTTTTATCTTTTTTTTTTCTGGCATTAAAAAATAAAAATTTTGCTTTATTATCTAATTTGCTGTTACCTAAAACGCTTACTACATAGCAGGATGCAAAAGTTTGGAGACTTGAATGCTTAGAGAACGTGTATATATGCAGCATAGCCACAGGATTAGGGCTTCAGCATTTTCATTCAGTTACATCTCATGGGACCTACTTATATCTCAGAACTCTGAGCTGAGGGATTTTTAAATGGCGAGTGTGAGAAGTACGTTCGTTGAGACGAACGTGAGCTTTAATTTCCGTTTATGCTTTCACAAATATCTAACCCAAGAAATATTGAAACGAATTTACGATGCTATCTATCTCATCTGAAAGACTGTTGTGTTGTTGTGACTTGTATGACACTGACATCAGAACAAGCCCATAAAATACATCGTGGCAAGGATTGCAAGTTTGCGCCTGTAGTTGGCAAAAGCCTTGAGCACCATATAGGTGACAGCACGACTTCGCTCATTCTCCCCCCCCCCAATTTTGATGGAGAGCATTCCTGCGAGACGGGTTCGAGAGTCTCCCATACCTTTTTTCCTACTTCAAGCACTCAAGAGGACTTCTATGACGTTAAGTGAGTGGCAACTGGCAAGTCGCCTTTAGTACATGCTACCTTCATGAAGTCTTCTATGCACAGTTGACTTTGACACCAGCCTTCCGGTGGCCGCAAATTTAGAGTGTCCCCATGTCACACAGACACTATACATTTACAAGCATCTGCGCTTTCTCCAAAACTCGAACCCCGACCCTTCGGTACAGCAGTTAGAGTAACTAACCACTACAGGTTGGGCGACTCTGAAAGTCTTAAATTACCATGAGCTTTTTTATAGTTCCAGAGGAAAGGTTGCTGTTACAACAAACAGCAGACAATCTAGAAACTAACTGTTTTTGTTATAATATCCGGAACCAAATGTCAACTTATAATAGTACGGATACTCAACATGAACCGAACTTGTCAATACATTTTCTAATGCATCTTGATGGAAGAAGAGGCTGTATATATGGAAATGGCAGGTGATATCATAATAGCTGCCGACAACTACCCCAACTCCAAAAGCATAATGGCTGAATCACAAATGTTTTATTTCGCCGATTTGTTATTTTGAGAATTGCAGCCTAAACAGCCCCTTCACATACACTCTAATACACTGGTTATCATAAATTAAGGAACAATTACAAAAGTGACTGTTATTCAAAATGTTACTTGTAAAATTTAATGAAACTGACCCACAATATAAAACACATAGTATAGTACAAAATAACGTGAAAGAAACTACCGAAGAGTTATGATGCTATAGAAGTTAACATATGCATTTAATGAACGAACCAGATGAGTCAGTTTGTTTGGTATAGAAACATTACCTTCAGTATCGAGTATGACATCCGCTAGACGCAATACAACACATACAGCGATCTGCGATGATGCCAGTTATGAAGTCTATCAGTTCCGTAGGAAGTGAGAGCCATTGGTTTTGTAAAGTAGTTGCAAGCGTGTCAAGGGCCTAAATAGGACGACTGGGAGCACCTATACGTCATCCTAAAGCCCCCAAACATGTTCGATTAGATTCGGGTCCGGTGATCGAACTGGCTGTTCCATGCACTGAATTGTTTGCTTTTGAAGATAATCATCAACAATGCGAGCACTGTTCAGTCTAGCATTGTGGTCCTGTATCAGAAAATTGTCACCTATTACCCCGGCATAGGGTTGCACATAAGTATCAAGATGTCATTTCTATAGGCCTAATCATTCATGAAAAGACATGGAGATCTGTGCGTCCACCCAAAGAGATACCATCCCAAACACAGACACTGCCTCTTGGGCATGCATCTCTATCACGGATGTTTGACAGATGATAACGGGTTTCATGTCCTTTCCAAATCAAAGAACACCTACTATCACTTTGGAGGCTAAACCTAGACTCATCCATAAACAGGATAGCTCTCCACTGAACAGTTGTCTAGCGGACATGTTGATATGCCCACCTCAAACATTCCCTTCTATAACGTGAAGTGAGTGGCACGCAACTGACTAGTCGCCTCGCGTACATACCACCTTCATGAAGTCTTCTATGCAAGGTTGACGTTGACACCAACCTTCCAGTGTTGACCCTGCAGAAAAGGATGATCCGAGTCGAGTCGGAGTTGAGGTTCTATTCCTTCGTGCGCATAACAACAAACATCGCTCATCAGTACTCTTCGTAGCGTTTGACTATCCGTGGCTGAACCTCCTGGATGCCGCCGAATCTGTGGTTAGAAATTGTTGCTTAAGTTTATAAACCACAGAAGGACTCGCATTTAGCCATCTGGCTATTTCTATCTGATTTTGTCTTGCCACTAGTCTTCCAATAGCTCTCCATCGCAGTTCTTGGGGCAAATGGTGCCTGGAGGTCATTGTTATAAATTGGCTATCCCAGATTTCTTATCTCAGTATCACAGCGAATTTTCCAAACTTGCTCTGAAACATGCAATTTTATGCTCATCGCAGATGACGTAATTCGATTCCAGCACCACTAATTTGCATACTGCAGTGTTATTCAGCAATTCTTATTTGACGACATATTTAATACGGACGGGCTCCTTTTTGAATGATTTATTGTTATATTTCTGGTTTTCCCTTATTTTTTTAAAACCAATGTATTTGCCTTCGCTTTGCAGTATCACTAAGAAGCTGGAAAAGCAAATTTTTTTTAACTGAATCTCAAAGAACGGAATTGCAGATGAGTTTCAAACAATTTTGCAGCGACCAGAAGTATGGTTTGGGGAAAAGAATCTTACTTTTAATTTTAGATTCCTATAGTGTTCTAATATACTAACATATATACCGTATTCAATTCTCAAACATTTGTATCCAAGCATATGTAATTGTTTCGCTAATAGGTCAGATTTTCAAGTTATTTGGGAGTTTGTAATTCTGAGAACCCTGAATTGAGAATTTCTGACTTAACTTCGAAGTTCTGGAAATATTATGTTTTCATAAAACTTGTAACACGCTTTTTAAAAAATATTTCATTCATTTTAGGGGGATACTACTTCAAGAACAAGGTCGATATGAAGAAGCACTGTTTAGTTATAAACTAGCCATACAGTTCAGACCGCGTCTAGCGAGTAAGTTTCACTTTCAGTTATTTTTAATAAAGTAGTAGTTCGTATAGTTTATATATATATAATATATATATATATAGATGAGGAACATTATATATATATAATGTTCCTCATCTATTACAGAACTATGTATAAAGAATTCTTTTTTAAATGAGGAAAGAGCGCTCTGATAATTTAATTTGTAATTTTTGATAGGTTTTATCATTTATCTTTTGCATATTTAAAGCAGTATATTTAGAAATATTTAAACTGATGTTTTAATAAATAAGTGCTACTGAAGTTTTATCCTGAATAATCTATTATAATATATAGAAAAATTTAAAATTTAAAGTTTTCATTAACTTTACATTATATGCAAGATTGCTTACATTTGAAATATGAATAACACCCCACCCCACTGTTTTTTGAAGATAAACAAGCTTAAACATAGATATACAAATTTTATTACTCTTTTTTAAGATAAAGAAATCTAAACATAGATAAACTAATTTTATTTTAAGGTTTATTAATTTTAAAATTAAAACAATGGTACAATAAAATGAATTAAATTACATCAATAACCTTCAGAAGGGAGAGAAGGAGGAGGAAATAATTACTTGTTTTAAAAATAATGCATAATTGTGAGTGATATAATTAATGTCTAGAGCACTGAATGTAAAAATCGTACTATTTTGACTGAACATAAAGTGATTTATAATAGAGCAGTGAATTTCATTTCCCTCTATTTGAAAGTTTAAAAGATTGTATTAAAATAGTATAATTATTTTATATCCAAAATATACAATTCGATACTACAACAAGAAGCTGAAATTATTGAAAAAGACATAAATTTTTGAAAGCGATGCTTCCCTCATTTTTTATTCTTTGCAGCTCGTGAGCTAAAGCGCTCTAAAACAGGAAAAAAAACCTACTAAAAAATGAAGAATATTCTAATTACACTCCTAATGGAATCATTTGCGCTTTTTCTAGCATCCAGGATTTGTATCTGTCTTCACTCTACAATTTAGATACTTTAGGAGCAAAATATTTCTTGTTTTTATGACCATTATTCTTTCGTTATGTCCCCCTCAAGAGAAGGTCCAGCATTTCTTTTGTCGTTCGGGATTATTAAAATCCTTTAGCGCCATCTGCTGGAAGCTGATAAAGCAGAATTATTGGCGGAGAATAATAATAATAATAGAGGAACCGTACAAGCGGAATTACGTGATAACCTAATAAATTCCTCTAAATGTCAAAGCATAAACTATATTAACCAACATGAAACTAATAATTTAAGAGGGATCATCCTGCTTTGATTAGCCATATTATCCATCTCAGCCTGATGACTAGACAGTTACTGCTTCATTGCTAAGCCCCAGGCAAACTGCAAAACATGGTTTAAAAAAAGAAATTGTCCTACTGAACTTTGTTGCAAGAGAAAGCTATAAGAGTTTCTTAAGCACTTCAAATGGAAAACATTTGCTTTTACATTATGTAGATTTAATATAGATTGAAAAAGGAGGAGGCATATGTAAGTATATAAATACTATTAGGCTTAACCGTGAGAGAAACGTTAAAAATAACTATACCCTTGCCTGGAATCGAATCATGGATCTTTCGGTTCCTAACTGTAGGTATTAACAACTACATCAAAAGTGCACACACAAAGCATAGTATTTATCGCAAACAACTTTAAAATATTATTATTTAATGTATGTATAAAGATGAGGAGGCCGAGCAATTTTCTATAATGTTATAAATAAGTAAGAGCTAGATCTATGGAAAAAATAAAAAAAAAATGAAAATGCTAAATTGTGAGATCAAATATAAATATATCCCTAAGTAAATAAGAAAAAAAAAGTAGAATCATATGACCAAAGATTTTCCTTCGGGGCAGGAGAAGTTACTCAAGCAATTCACAGCTGAAAGAGCTGTCTAGTTACGAAAGTAAAAGTGACTAGTAACAAAAAAATTTAATTATTAATATACAAATTAATCAGTGCAAATATTATTAAAGTATTACAGTGGAACTGACACCAATAGACAAGAAAAAAGCAGTCGTAAAAGAGATAATGAATTCAAAGCAGTTCTGCAGAAACGAAGCAAGTAAATACACGTAGAAAACGAATAATGTAAAGTGAAGCAAGAATAAATAAGTAAATGAAAATAGAAAATATAAATAAATTATAAGTACCTCATTGTAAAACCTTTTTATTTTACAAAACGACCGGACACCAATGCTCTTCAAACATTGGTCGGAAATGACAGAACTCATCCTTAATTTATCAGTTTCATCTTCGAGGCACACCGATATTACACCCGTCAGAAGGGTGGAAGGCAGGTGCAAACACCATGCCTTCTCCGAGATTCGATCCCATGGCAAACGATATGACAGCCGGTACCGCTAGCCACCATACCGAATACGAGGGCATTCTAGATAGAAAGAACTGAACGCTGAACAGGGAAATGGAATCTGAAAAACTTTGAATGTGTTTACTAAAGTTGATGCTAAACAATGAAATATGAAGTTGTAAGACTTTAACCCTTTCCGGCACACTACCTTTTAAAGTTGGAATTTCGATAGAAAAAAGGTAGGCAGTTTAATTAGGCCTAGAGGAGTACAGAAGTAAAATTTTGTAAAGATAGCACTTGTCGTTTTAATTCTGTGGGTGTGCCCGAAGCGGGCACACTGATTGAATAGAGCTTCGAAAAGAGTGCTAAAACGAGCATTGCTGGGAAGCGCGTAAAAGAGTAAGAGATTTTGTCTACGATTAAAAAACCCTAGATTCTGAATACCATAGAATATTTAGTATTACCTAGGGTGTGCCACGGGGAGATCTGCTACTCTACACCGCCCTAAAAAGCTCATTTTTTGTTATATGATGATTACATGCTTATGAATGGAAAAACGTAACTTAGGTATATGATATTTACATTATTTACATTTTATCTTTACACTTTAGTCTATTTCTTTCATCGTGGTACTTTACGAAGAATGTGACACCACCTTTAAAAACGCACAACCCAATATTGCCTGTTTTGCACATATGCTGGGATCCGTACCAGATTCACTATCTGAAAGCAATTCGTGTAGCACTTTCATCCGTTTGAAAAATAATTAAAAATCCAAAAAATATAAACTAATATTATATCTACAACTTGAAATTGCAAACTATAAAATGAAAATATAAATGCCTACAACTCAAACCTATTAAATGTAGCGCTAAGAAAACTTCTTTGAACCAAAGCGGAAGAGAAAAAGAGAACTGCTCTACCAAACAGCTAACTGATAAAATTATCTCGGACCTGCAGAAAATCACACCAACAAATTTCTTATTTAATAACCAAACCTCCCCTCCAAAAAAAAAAAGGGGGGAAGAAGAAAGAAAAACACAGATGTGGACCCAACTTTCTATGTTAATGAGCTCACCGATGAGCTGTAGAGAAACACAGATACAGCTGCCTCTCAGTGACCTAGGCTCGCGGTGAGCCCAGTCTGGGAACACCTCGGTTCGCCGTTCGATTTTAAACAAGATTTCAATTTAAAAATTTAAAACTAATATAGAATAAGGAGATTAGAATACAGCCAAAAAATAACATAGAAATTTCATTTTCAAACAATTCCTTTTATACCCTAAAAGAAATCTGGAAGATTTCTTTGAAAAATGAGGGTCTTAAGAAACTAAACATGGCTAAAATACAAGGACTGGTTTGTGTTGAGCTGCCATCTATAAACAAAGAAGGTTCAGAGTAACCTATAGTAACCTTCAAATCCTTTTTCATTCAATTTTTCTGTGCGTACAGAAAGAAATTTTTAGGTGTGCCCAAGCCGGGCACACAGTGCCGCAAAAGGATAAACACAAAGAGTGCAACAGTTTGCCGCTGAATAAAGAAATGGGAGCTTTAAGATTTAAATTTTTTATATTCTGCTTTATTTATAACAAATGATGAATCGTAAAAGCATTGAACATTCAACAAATAAGAATATGATTAATCAGTCAACAATATATTTCAAGCAACTGTCATTTTGGAATCTAAACCGCAAAGAAAAAATTATTTCGATGTAGCTTTATAATTGCTTTTTGATCTAAAAGAGGTAAGTTGATATTTGGAATAAATCGTTTATGTATGAAAACATGGTAACTAAGACTCCACGCAAAACATGTGGGGATAAAAAGACTACCTGGATTTTCTAATCAGATACTATATTTTTTAAAATTTTAATATGTTACAAGAATAAGGGAAATAAATCCAAGAAAAATTAATTATTAATACATTTTGTGAAGATACAAATCAACCGCGAAATGACTGTTGCAGAGGTTTCGGACGGAGTTTAAATTTTGACTATTATATAGACAGAGCCTCTTTATTAACTTATTATGTGACATTATTTTTATGAACCAGGAATGGTGTATTTATTTATGGCAAAGCACACTAGGGCTATCTGCCTCAGGGGAGGGATGCCTTCGTGGAGGACTTTCTAAGGGTTACTGGCTCCTATACACGTGGGGAAAACCACGAAAACGCCCATGCAGCCAGCCCGTTCGCGGGATTTGAACCTCGGACCGAACTACCAGTGTTCAGCGACTTTACCGCTTGGCTGCTGGTGGGCCTATGAATCAGGAAAGCTTTCAGCGTTTAAATCTATTTAATATTTTACTAGGCATTTTTCTCTAGATGTAAAATTATTAATTTCTTTCACCTGAATTCAAACTACTTGTTATATCTTTGGTTATTGCTCCAAATTTGGTTTGTGGCACAGCTAAGTATATAGATTTTGAAATTCGAACTGGATTTAAAAGCAGATTTATTACATGGAGGTTTAATTTGAATTTACTTTACCCACTCATAAGTGGAGCCTTGTATTACCTTTGTTTTCATACAAAGAGACTGATAAATTAGAATGTAATCATTAAAAGAAATGCATGTCTTGCCTTAGCATCCAGTAGTTTTAGCTGATGGACAAAATATCACAAGAGACCAGTATTTTGCTTATCTCTAAGCTGAATCAGTAATTAATTTTTATGCGGAGATTTAAATTATTGAGAGTATTAGCTTCTCCTATGATGATACTCCACTGATATATTTGAATAATGTTAAGCATATTAATTCCTTCAAAATATTTTTAACACATTTTCGTGCCTGAAACCATATTTGTTTTTCAAAGTAAGGTTGCATTTAGAATTACTCATTAATAAACATGGATATTTATTAAAATAAATCTAAGCATTTTAATAAAATAATTGTTCCTGTTTTTCCTTCTCGCTTAGGGGGAAAAAATTATACTTCCATTAAAAATTCTGAATTTACATAATTGAGCATTGAAATATACATTAAAAAAGTCTTTATCTCAGTAAAATTAAGTGAAATACTGGTCTGAGTATAGTAATGGATTACAGAAAGGTAGGTATTTTCTGAAGAAATAATACAGTGCCACAAACATACTTGGAGCTTTAACTTTACAGATGACTAGAAATTCTGCATGTAATTTTTATCTTCATTTTGCTGTTTATCGATTTATAAAAGAATAGATAACCTGCACATCAATACTTAATAATTAAAAATTTACTAAGTATCCACCAAAGATGCGTTCCACATTCACATGATAATTTTAAGAAAGATGTTAGAAGTTATTATTTAACTTAGACCCATCTTTCAGTTTGTAGTTCAGTTATGGTATCGTGGTTCACCAAAATCAGCTACATATACTACAGACATGTAACTCAGTGATGTTGCGATATATGTCTAGTTAAAAATAATGTACGTGCCCTTGTTTGAGCTAGAAACATATTACTGAATAGCGTAATTAATATTAATTATTAGCTAGCCACTCAAACCTTTTTAAATGAAAATGATTTCTTCTGTTAAAAAATTTAAAAAAACAGGCCACTGAACCGCAGTTTAAAAATTTAATAGAAGTTTAACATGCAGAATTTCACTAATCATTTTATTATACACCGATATGGCACATTTCAGCTATAAATGTATGTTTCATTTTAGTGGCACATTTGAACATGGGTCTGGTACTTGGAGTTCTGGGAAGAAAAGAAGAAGCTGCAGAGGTGAGTATAGTGAACTTGTGAGGAAATTTACAACTGAAAACCCGATTGGTTTAGAAACGTTTTTCTGAAGCATTAAAATACTTTGTTTTTAAATTAAAGAACGGATTTTGTAAATGACTGAATTAAAAACTATATTATTGTTTACTTTCGGTTTTATTATCTGTTAATTTGTCAAAGAATCTCTGTGAATGCTGTAAAAAGGTAAGTAATTATAATAGTTTTATAAACAACGTAATGTGAAATTTATACCTCTGGGAGGTTTTGAAGCGAAATTTAAATAGCTCCATTTTAGCTGAGAATTCGTCGATTCTAAAGGAATGACAGTTTGTGAAAATATGTGTCTTCAATGATAAACGATTCACGACCCAAAAGAATATGAAAAAAACTTCGAATGTACACTTATATTATTACATTATTTCGGCTTTGTAATCTCAGCCATACCTTTTAGAGTAGTGGGGGTAATGATAGCAGACATATCTTGCAATGTATATTAATTAATAATATTCTGATATCTGAGTTCAAAATTCGTGCGTAAAAGAATATGCGTATGATATTATATTTTCATTTCAACCAAGTACTGAAAATATAGACACAAATATTCAATTCAAATCTCCGCTAGCCGCCATACCATGTAGAGTAGCAACGATACTTATCATATACATAGTTTGCTTATCAATCAAATCAAACATTGCTTATCATACAAATGTTGAAAATACAGACAACATTATTAAAATAGTTCTAGAAATACCATTCGAAATTAATATTTCATATTCTTTGTTTTCGCAGCTTAATTTCAAATTAGAAAAGAGAGGAAATTGTTAGTGGAAGGGAAAGGAAAGAATTTTAAATATTGATTTCTGCTGAAGTGAAAGTCTAATATTAGATTATGTAAACAAAATTTAGTAGAGTAAAAATAACAGTTAGAAAATAATATCTTTAGAATAAGATGCATATGTGATAAATATTGAATACGAAGGCTGCTTACTTATTCTTATAGGAAGAGTCAAGATAAGAAAGAAGTTCTGAAGAATCGCTTTCCTTATTTTTATCAGTCGTTTCGTTTTTAGGTTAGTAAATGATATTCCGTGCCTGTGTAATCGCTAATTTCTAAAATTAGAACTTCCGGAGCCTATGGAATGCCTCAAGTACGGCGAAGAATAAATAAATAAAACAATAAATAAATAAAAAATTATTTTAATAAATTATGATTAGTAGAAAAATAAATTTATATAAACTAATGCATCCAAAAATTGAAATGGAAAAAAAAAAAAAAAAAAAAAAAAAATGTAATGTAACACAATGAATGATAAACAAAGCTTGGCACAACAAGGCTGAAACGGAAGTTATTTGAACAGTATTCCTTGCGGTCAGATAAAATAATCTTCTTTATTTTGGCTTCCAATTCGTTTAAGGCCTTGTCGATGAAATGAGCAGAGTTCATAAATGTTCCTCCTTCTGAAGAGACAGCATTTCGTAATGGAATATTTGTTCCTCAAGAACTCAGTTTTCCTCGTATTTTGCTGTTCCGAGCAAAAACGACGTACTGAGCAACTAACATAAATGTCAGTTTTACTAACTGCTAAAAGAAATACTATATTAAGAACCGAATTCCCTGTTCATATTGTCATTCAGTTATATAATAAAGTACTGAGGCTTGTTTTATTTAAGGCTGCAGCGGGCTTTGGCTGCAATTAAAAATTCGAGATACAGGAGCTAGGTTGCAGCGGTTGAATTTAAGTCCTATTTTGAACTATTTCAGTGTGCTTAAAATGACAGCTTGTACTGTATTGTTTTTAAATCAAGTGAACTATTTCATACTTCAGTATGAAACAGTTCACTTGATTCACTTGATAATCACTTCATTCGCTTGATAATTTAAATCAGACAGAGCTTGCAGCTGTATACTTTCAATTAGATTTCCTTTATTATTGAAAATCTGTGTTAGATTTTCAGCTGGAAAATTATAAATTATTAATTCTGAATACAAAAATTTTAAAATATATGTGTTGGCGTCGGATGTAATACATAATCATATTGCTAATGAATATTAATATTTTTTACCTTCTTTAATCATATAAAAATAAAGATGGTGCGTAAAAAATAACCGGTGAGCAGGATCATTTCGCCATTGTTGCGCCATTGCCACTTTCCCTTTTACATATTTTTAATGAGAATAAATACACAAATAGTAACTGGAACTCGAAGGGGTAAGCGTAATCAACCCTTGAACATCTGGGTATACTTTCCTTACTGCCAGGTTTCTTAGAAGGAAGAACAAAATCTATCGAAGTTTCCAGACTCTGATTTGATAACACAAACGCATCTAGTTTGTGGACGACTGAGAACCAAATTATGTGTTTGGTATTTAGCAAGTGGATGAGGAAATACTCGAAAGCTGATTGAGTATTAATTTATTAATGACTTTAAATGGAGTAGCTGATGTATATAACATAATTAAAGAAAATTATTCTCCTTTATTGTTGGACAAATTATTAGATGAATTAAATGCTATAACTTTAGCTACTATCTGGTATCTTAACACGAGCGAGGCATTTATGTATAAAACCAATAATTTTGTAATAAAGTGTTTCAGTAATTAATTGCTTGAAACTAATCAAGTAGAATCAAACAAATAACCTTGATAATACAACGTCTTGCTCTCATTCAGTTATATTCTATAACATAAGGCTCCCTCAGACGCATATCGGACTTTATTCGTTACTAAGGCAGAAAAAGATTGGTATTATTTTATATAAAGATTGGTATTATTTAGATGATGACAAAACAGTTGAGAGTTATTTTACAAATATGAGGACATTCTAAAACAACTGGTTCCTGTTCAGGTTACGTAGGGAGAAAACCACAAAATCCCTCATGTAGCCAGCCCTTTCGCCAGAACAAGGCCGGGTAAAACTACCAATGACAACGACTTTACCTCTCAGCCTTTAGTTAGTCGTGAGGAAGTTTAATCAAATCGAAGGATAAATCTTTCTCTACTGTTGGGTTATTTAGAAAACAGACAACCCTGTTACAAACGAAATAAAAGAGGAATAAAAATTTTTTCATGAATACTAGAATGGCCTAATGTAAAATCTTTTCATTTGTACTTGTCAACATAGGCAATGAACTGAGATTAAAGCGTACTATAGAAAGGTCGCTAGCTTTTTGCGTTAAAGATGCTGTTTAATGTATGTTTGGAGACATGTTCGAAATCTTCATTTTTTAAAAATTAAAATTTAGGTGTTATCACTTTGTTTACTCGAAATAAACAATGCACTAATCAGTCTTTCTTTGATTATGCCTTTCTAATCTTATTCATTACAAACTGTTAATTTTATGGCATTAAAATAATGCTAGTAACATAAGTTGTGGGACTGTTGGAGGGGAGTGAGAAGATCATAGATTCTGAAAGAGAATTTCAGGGAGTACCCCCTAATTCTAAAATCTTGTTAAGGGGTACACGAAAGATCTTGAGAACCGGTTATTTAACGGATTTTACGAATTTTGCATGACTCTTTATTATGAAGTTTGTATAAATGAATTTATTATAATCTGTGATCTCGAAATAATTCTACAATTTTAATTTCCTCTTTTAATTAAAAAAAAAAAGAAAAAGGAGAAAACGGAAAGGAAAAAGAAAAAGATGGATAGAAAGGAAAAACAAAATTTAAAAAAAAAAAAAGAAAAGAAAAGAGAAAAGAAAAACGCACTCTTAATTTCTATTTATTTTAAGACGATTTTCTGCATACAGAATTAACGATAAAATTTATTGCTATCATCAGAAATTAATTTTAATCTTTGATCTTATACCTATCCTTATATTAAATATATTTCGAAATTTACGTTTTAAAATAGTGATACGTCATTTTTAGATTCTGACTGACTGAATGCGAAAAAATGGGCATCGTTTTTTACATCATTTCTAAATCAAAAAGCAAAATTTCAAAAAAAAAAAATATTTGCTCATATCTGTTTGAGAAAACAATTTTATCGAGCAAATGGCGCACATAATGTCTACTCGCGGACAAAAACAGTTACACAGCTTGAGGAACAGGGTCATTGCTGTGAATTCTAAGCGCACAATAAACATTTCTTCCGCATATATTTGCGAAAGTGTTTCTTCTAAAGTAAAATGTCCGTAGGGACATTCAGTTTGTAGCAACACCGGCGTTATGTGAGTTATGCGCTTCTTTGCATAATGGATTACTTCGTATTATTGAATGTCGCGCAAAAATGTGCTCTTCTTTTGGAATGAGTCTGAGCAGCATATTCTTTAAACAGTTCCGTTTTAGAGACAAGAAATTGATGTGCTGGATGTGATGTTCTCTAAATGGTGTGTCATATTGATTTTATTATCAAAAATTGGAATATTTTGCAGTTATGGTAAACGTTCTTTAACAGTAAGACATAATACTCAGAAACCCTATTTGAATATTACTTCAGTATTAGTGTCTGATGAATTTATGCTTGAATGCTTTACTAAACTGCAAATGGGTAGATGCCAAGGAAATGCAGAAGAATAACTGATGGTCATAAGCAAACTAATAATATAAGAAGAAAACTCCCGAAATAAATAATAAGAACTCTCCGATGCATTGACTACAAATACATCTCTCATAGTTAGCTACTTCTGAAAATGCCAGCGTTTCGTAGATGGCAACCCCCCCCCCAAAAAAAAAAGCATCGGTACTGAAAACCACATCTCTGAAGCAACCATTATTACATAACATCCAAAATCATATGCAGGCGAGGATGGTCATTTTAGGGAATTTTCACTTTACTATCATTATATATTTATATGTTACGGTGAAACACCGAAATCTGGAGAATGTCGAGTTTCACCGGTGAATGTCAACATTCAATAGGCTATTGGGTAGTCCGAATATTTCCAAATACTCTATAGCTTACACCTCAATGTCTAATCACATTACTATGGTGAATGTTGAACAATAAAGATATTATATTTCTTCTCCGTAATTCAGTGCGAATAACGCCTTGAGAATTGAAATAAGCTAAGACATGAGAACTAAACGCACAATACATCACAATGAGAAAGGAAAAAATAGAGTTAAAAACTTACTTAATTATACATACGTTTAATGAGAAAATAAAAAACAGTATAAAAACTTACAAATTAGTCATTAAATCTTCTTGATTGCAAAACTTAAAACTATATGGCACTTTATGACCTCTTTGACTTTCAGAGCATATTGGATGTCGACACACCGGTGAGGGTCCGAATATACAAGAATGTAGTGAAATCTTCGGTCTTTCACCGACGTATTTGGTGAATGTTGATATTCTCCGGTGAAAGTCGACATTCTGCAATTTCAGTCTTTCACGGTAACATATATATATATAAAATTAAATTCATAGATGTCTACTGATCGATTTACACTCCTTTCTAACCTTATTACACTTTTCTTGAAATAACTGCCACTATTGCTTGTTTCTTGTTAAGTAATAATAGTAATAATAATGATAATTGTAATAGTAATAATAATAATAGCAGTAGTAGTAATAATAGTATCAGTAATAATAATAATACGAGTTACTTGTGAACCCACAGGTGTCCTTGTAAAAGGTAATATAAAATTTACCACTTAGGTCTCTTCACACAGTAATCACAATACGTCGATATTATCTTTCAATTAAGACTTGTAGAGACATTACGTATTTTTTGGAAGCAGGCAAGATGAAAAATGAGCAATCGCCTTCGCCGGGAATCGAACCACGGACTTCTAGAATACCGGCCCAGCGTGGTGTGCAGACTACTACACCACGAAGGCACGCCAAGAAGGTAGGAGAAATACATTATATACTCCCCCTTTTAAAGGGCGACTGAGGTTTTAAAAGTACCCAATCACCAAATCCTGGGTGGGGAGAAATCATCATTCAACATCTTTTCAGTTCGGGCGCCACTGTAGCGACTTTAGGTATTTTGGAAGCAGGCAAGATAAGAAATGGCTAGTCGCCTTCGCCGGGAATCGAACCACGGACTTCTGGAATACAAGCCCAGCGTGCAGACCACCACACCACGAAGGCACGCCAAGAATGAAGGAGAAATACCTTATAGACTGACCACTGTTTTTTTAAATCGAAGTAAATTTTAATTTCTGTTACAATTATCTTGTTCAAGAATGTATTTTAAAATGGTATTTTTATTACTTATTAATTTTTTTTTTCTGATACTACTGCTTTCTGGTACTGAGGCCAAAACAAAATTGGAAAGATTGGGCAACTCTTAAATAGAAGCTGAAACTGATTAAGATTTGTCATTTAAGAAGGACAAAACATTTGACCTCGTAGGTTGCAGCGATCACAACACAGATACTGAAACTGGAAATTCGTAAAATAATAAATATATTTATAATGTAGGTACTTTCTACTTTTGTTCCAAGATCAGAATGTTACATAATGGAAGATAAACATGTTTAGACCACTATACACTGGTAATTTGTCCTACGTTCTGCTGACTGGATCAGAAGAGACCTAAATGATACTAATGTATATAGCACGGTATTTAAGATTTTGGATGATCATCAACGCGCTCAGCTTGCATTATAGTTTTGCACCGCAGTGGGGCAGAAATGAAAAAGCTGACATTACAAATTTACGCTTGCAGATATTGCGCGTATTTGGGAAGAAAGAATTGCTTAATCAACCATCGAATGGTTAAATAATTATTCTAAAATATCAATGACAGGATTCTTTAACCTTGTTTGCATACATTTTTCTATAAACTGTGTACGTCACTTATATTTCTCTTTTGCTTGTCAAAGGATTAAAAGAAGCATGAGGTATATTAGGAATGAAAGAGATGTTTAAGATTCTTCAGATAGTATGGGATGAGAGAATTCCCACCAACTTCAAATTAAATTCAACAAAACGAGATAACCTATTTCGATCTTTTAAGTTTACCGAAAAGATTTTAAATTTAAGCTATTTCAGCTTTTAGAGCGATTAGGTATTTATCGGAGTAGGAACATGAAAAATCAGCAATGCGCTCACCGGATTCGCACTCGAGTCTTCCAGTTGCTCACTATATATGCTAACAACTACGCCCCCCCCAAAAAAAACACGTGGCGGGGAAGGAGAAAATTCCTTATATTCTTCTCCACTATAAGGGCAATTGGGGAGGAAGAGAACCTCCTGCCAAAATCAACTGGTGAAGAGTTAACTTTCAACGCATTTTATTCCGGGGGCAGAGAGTCATAATTATTTGAATCACGGACGCATGGTATTTCTACGATGTTCTCGCCGGGATTCTAACTTCGAACCTTCTGATGTTGGTGGGGTATGTTTCCACATACAACACTAAGGCACGCCGTGAAGCAGGGAAAATTTTCCTTAAATTAAAAATTATTCATAAACTGAATTCCTGGCCAGCAAAGCAGCAGAAACTAACTTGTAAATACTTTAATAATTATTCTAATAAAATGTAGTGAATGACCTCAGATTTGATATATTTCTGCACGATATGATATTTCTGAATTAAAGTTATTTCTTCATTTCAGGTTTATAGACACTGTGCAGAATTAGACAGTGCTGGTCTTAAAGATCCCAAAATGCACGAAAGTACTCGCATATCGGCTCTTTTCAACTTAGGAAGGCTGTATGCTGATGAAGGAAAATACGAGGTATTCATGCAATCTATCTTCTTTCTTTCCTTTTTTTATCTTTACAAGCTATATTATTTTAAGATATGCAAATGATATTCAGAATCTATAACGAATGCATTCTAACCGGTTCGACTTTCCATAAACAGAAATGGAAAAGTCCCTTCCATGAAAAAGGAACTAATAGTAAGAAAGCTACCATAGGCGAGGAAAATTACTATGATGTTATTTTCAATAAAATATGTACTTCCTCCGATTTTAACTTATTTCGCACAGGAAAAATATTTTGTGTGCTTAATAATTCTAGCAATGCGGATAATATATTTGAGAAAATAATTAAACGGGCTTCTTTCTAGAATATCCAACCCCCATGCGGAAAAGCAATTCTGTAACTAAAATGGTTCTCTATTTATTCTCTCTATGTTAAAATAACATTTACTTTGTTAAGTCACATGTATTGATATAAAGCCTAAGATAAATGAAATAACAACATTATGCTGTTAAGGTATTTATTAAGTAAATATATTTAGACTTATTTAATAAATAAGTCTAAATAGACTTATTTAATAGATGCCTAAACAGCATAACTGATACTGGATGAGAGTTGTGTTATTTACCATATTTTAACCTAATATAAACTTAATCTACTATCTGTATATAACTAGAATGTGCATAAGTTGAACGCATTATGTTTTTTTATATTGTTAAGTTTTTAGAAAAGGATTATCTAAAAGTTGATTGTTTTCAGATAATTCGAAGTAAAAAACACGACATGGCTTTAATATTTTAATTCATTTTTGCATTTATCTTATTTATCTTTTCTTATTAATTTATTTACTTTTTAAATATATCTATTTCTGCTTCGGCTCAAGTTGCTTAGTATTTAAACTATAAAGAAGAATTTAATTAACCGGATTTCATCCTTTTATTGTATCGTAATTTTTCTTTTAAAAGGCGGTCAGTTACGCAATTTCTCCGCTTTCGAACTCTAATGTTAATTTGCTTGTTCCTTTGTTTGCCATATTCTAAATCAATTCAGAATACTAAAAAACGTGAAGGAAAATAAATTAATATTCAGAATTCGAAACAAGAAAATGTGCTAAACTAACAGCAGATATGAAAAGAATTTAACCTTAGTATTAACTTAATTACATAAAGAATGTTAGCAATTAACTTCTAAGTTAGAATGTGTAGAAAAGTAGGAAATTTACGCCAGACAAGTTTTAAGTTTTAAACTAAGTACCCTGGAAAGCGTAAATTAAATTTACTTTTAGAAATTTTTTATTAAATACTATTTATTTTATTACAAGGTTACTTCCCTCTGTGCTTACTAAATTCTGCTTAAAACTTCCCAAATTAAATTTCGAAAGGAAGAACATAAACAGAATTTAATAAAGATTAATCAATTGTCTGAGAAATGCTACATAATTGGAAACAAAGTCTGGAAATTTATAAAATACTTTTAAATCACTTTATATATACTTGTCGCCTTATCTCATTTTTCATGTGCTTCAGCAGGGACATATAGTATGTTGCCTTTTACGTGGCATGAGTTACTGAAGTTTTGAAGTTTTTAATTTTAAATTAATTTAATTAATTAAACGAAATTGTAAGTCTCTAAACTCTAGGTTTTAAAGGAAAAATAAGCTAACAGAGAAAGTGTTAAAAATCTGTAGATTTTTTAACATTTTTTCCACTAATTTATGTTACAATATCTAGTTTAAGAATATATAAAAATAATCTGCAATGCTTATAATGTTTATTTTGTTAACTTAGAGAAGAAAACCTGTTTTAATAGGATTGAATTAAAATACTATAAATCCGTTAAAATATTTATAATTACTTTGTATTAGTTCAAAAGCACATATCTAAGTGAAATTCTATTTTCTCAATATTTGAGAAATTTTCAGAATACAAAATAGAAGACTAGCTTACATTAGCAAAGTTTTGTTGACTTTAACTAAATAATTTGAAAGAAGATTATGTTTTAGAAATTTAAATAAATTATGGGTTTACTTTTTTCAGTTGCACACATCGAGCATCTATAATAATAAAAGCAAGTGTAATGTGTCTGTCTGGCTGTCTGACCGAGCTCTCCAGCCAAATCTATCGCAAGCAGGGACTGAATTTTTATGCGAAGCACAAAGGGGATGGCCCCAACCTCGAGCCCTATTTCGATTTTTGAATTAGAAAATTTAAAAAAATTCTTTATATAATTAATCCGTTTTTTTGACCAAGCTATTATTTGTTTTAAAACGTCGTTGTAAAATGATTCTTTATTATAGCGTTTTTGCTGTTGCGATACATTAATCGATTAATACAATTCATTTTTTTGTCGCTGTGGGGGGGGGGAGAGAGGACAGTCTACATGTCCTACATACTATTCCTGAGCTATTCACTTATCTGCATTTTAATGCACGGCACGCCGGGCGGGTACACTCGTTTAAAATAAAATGTTTAAAACTGTAAGAGTTTCCTTTATTTCTATATTAAATTTGGAGCGTTGTTGTGGAAAATTTGTCATAATCTTATCAAATTACAACATTTATTCTGAAATTTCTCATCGAGTTAAAGCAATTAATTCCTCTAAGAAATATTGCTTTGCCATATTAAAAAAAAAAAAAAAAAAAAAAAAAAAAAAAACATTAAATTAGAGCAAACTCATAAGAATATAAATCTACTTTTTTTAAGACAGAATCTAGAAAAATTATGTCAAACAAATTTAATACCTGTTTACAAATACATTTCCGAGGATTATCCTATTCCACATTAAAACATGCATAATGAAATTCATAATTTAATTAAACAACATAAAAACCCGTTAAATGCATGAAAATGCTTAGAAAAAGACGCTTGATCTATATATGTTGTTTACAGGTAAAGGACAGGTAAAGGACAAATATGAAGGAAACTGTCTTGAAACCATCTCAAATAAGTTTCTCTAATTCAATCTTGAAAAGCAGTAAAGATAGTAATTTTTGATGAGATAATTCCCAACTTTATTTTATCTAAATATTGATATAGAATTATAAAAGACCTGGTAATTAATTTATCATATTAAAAAAAAACTGACAAAAGCTTTGCTATACCTCATTTCGCTGTGACAAAATTGTAAAAGAAATTTATTATACAACAAAAAATGCCTGCAAAAGTCACAGGTATCTCGATGTCTACGGAACACTTGAGAGTCGACTGAGAATGTGTATTTCCTCTCTTCACTTCAGTTTTGGGCAGCAGAGATAACTTTAAGCTGGGCTTTGGCACTTATTTAAGAATTTGAATTAAAAATGACAAATACGGCGTGAGAAGGCATACTTTCGGTTGCCTTCACTCGATTCACATCTATACTGACACAAATACATGATTCTTTCAGGTAATCATGAGCGAATGCAAGTTGGGAATACTGCCTTGCTGAGGTATTATGAATCTGCTAAACGTTACAGTCCAGTTTAGTTTTCCGACATAAGCTATCCCGAATAAGTAACATGGAAGTCAGAAAATTCGTCGATTATCTTAAAATTTTTACCTAAATGCGTTCAAGAACATCCTTTTATATGGGTGGAGATATCTTTATTAACCCTTAGAATACCGAATACTTCGCTAAGCTTTATGCGTAAAATACCGAAATGCCCGTCCCCTGCCGTCAGTTTCCTTCCCTCCCCGTCCATTAAAGCACAAAGAGGTGTGAAAATTTCAAATGGCATGTTTTCTACTTCTTCCTCACAAAGAAGCTTCCATCAGCAGTTTAGGACAAGTTGTCTACAATAAACCGACGTATTTGGGGAAATTGCACCTGGTACTGCATACCTTAGGGGGTGAAAAAAACAACATCGCAATCTCGGCCGTTTCGGGTGGTTGTCGTCGTTTGAATGAAAGGCCGATTAAGACGTTTTGGGTTTCAAAGGGTTAATATAAATTAGATTTATGAATAATGTACGTACTTTAGCTATCCGACGTATGATATTTAAAAGCCATTTCAGAAACACATAAAAATAAGCCTTTTTATAAAGGTAATTTTGACACATTTGCTTTTCTTAATAAATACCAATCAATATATTTTTGATATTTCTTCCAACTTCTCATCTGTTTTTATTATTTATTTAATTTTATTTTAAGTCAAATTTAAAGCTTTTAATTGAACGTTTTTGTGCAAATATATCGCTTGTTGTATGATGTCGATATAAGGAAATTTAAAGTATTCTAATTCCCTTTTCGCTCGTCTCTTTTAATCTTGTCTAGGAGGCAGTGGAAGTGTATCATGAAG